CCATATTTGAGATATCTATATCAAATAAATAATAAATTAATTTTTTAAGTTATCAGTATTACATACATTAGTATTTAATTGGTTAGAAATATAATGATAGAATTACTTTGAGATACATAATTTATGTTGCTCACAACATTAGGTGCAACGACAAATTATTCATGTCTCAACCATGCACAAATTTTATTGACATGTGAGAGATGAATCATAAGGATAGGAATTTTCTCTATGATGATTGACACTACTTTTAAACAATCAGATTCTAAAATCATGTTATGTTCCATGTAAACTCCAAACCCTACTCCATAACTAAGAATTATGCCAACATAGGCAAATCCAACCCAATCTCTAACATTGAAACCTAGTATCCATATACCAACTTGGCACCTAAAAATGTTGTTGGACAAGTTAGAAAAAAAAGGTAAGGAATTAAAATAGTAATTTTAATTATAGGAAGAGACTATTGACACTCACAAATATTTATTCAAACTCCTTACTAATCATATATAATTTATAGAAGAATAAAAGTATGATTAATTAGTTGAATGAGCATTTTGAAATTCTAATAGCGTCATACTCCATAATAGTTTCCTTTTGTTTGAAATCACATATCACTATATAGTTATGGTGAAATTAATCATGGCACACAGACAAGGGATGTTGTCTCTTAGAAACTTTTATGTTATTCGCTTCATCTCATTTCAATTATCATTTTAAGGTCATGAACTCATATTAACATAATCATTAACCCACATCCTTAGTTATATATCTTTCAAGGAAAATTATATATCTTATATATCCTCATACATCATAACAAAAGTAACATCTGTCACAAACTGATACTATGAATATCAACTATTAATATCATTTTCATTTTTAAGAAACAATTATAACACAAAATATGAAAAAAAAAAAAACAAAAAAATAATTAATGTTTATTGATTTCCTAAATTGATAAAAAATATAAAAAACTGAAAAATATTAAATTCACAATTAAAATGGATAGAAGAATTTTCACCCAATTCCTGCATAGAATAGAGTAACCTTGGTCAACTTTTTTGGATTGTGGGCCAGTTCATGTTTCCTCACTCATCTCCATTAATGGAGAGATAAATACCCAAAAAAATTAAAGAAAGTGGAATATGTAATGTCACTTTTGCCCTCTTTATTTAAAAAATGATTACACATTTACCCTTATAATACACATAAAAAACTCACGTGTCTCTCCATTAATGGAGATGAGTCCTACTCCTCCAAAGAATTCTCCTTTGTTAAGTGGTGTATGTTCCTCTAGGAAGGGTTTCAGTTTAATCAGAAAAGGGACCAAGACATTCAATTTGTACCCCAAAAGAATGAAGGGAGAGAAAAACATCCACCACACTTCTCATCTAATCTCCAACTACTGTTTGAATTGGAAGGGAAGGCCCATTATTCTTGCCATAAGAAATGGTCCCCATAATTATAAGGTAAATTCTTAGCATTCTGTGGAGTTGTAGTACACTTGAGACCAAATTCAAAATGCTTGTGCCCTTACAGACCCGTGGAGTTTGAGCATTGGAGGGTCCACACACATAAGTATAAACTGTGAGAGGACATAGCGACCCCCATATTTCACATCCAATTCATTATTATCATAAAGAATGCAGTGCTATTCTTGTGTCATTGATTTACTGACTTTTGATAACAAGAATCTCTTTCAAAATATTCATTCCTCCATGCAAGGCTACTGTGGAGTTTCATTATTATCAAACCATCGATAAAGGAAAGAGTCGCAAATATTTCGTCTTGAACGAAAACCTTTAAAAATGATTTCATAGATATTTTTAACTTATAATTTTTTTAATCTATTTTATGAATGAATATACCCAAAAGTGCATGTGTGAGACCAATTAGAGGAAGTTAAACGAAAATTATTTAAATTTCATATTTAACACTCAATAGTTCAGTGTCATGTCTTTACTTTACCTTTTTTTACCTACTTTGTTAGAATATTCTAACTTAAACTTTTCCTAAGATGCTTCTGTATATTTTCATATGAACTAAAAAAATATAAAAATATCATTGAATTTGTCTATATACTAAAATTATCCCTCATTGATGAAATTAAATCTTTTCTCTTGTCACTCAAATTAGTTGAATAAATAGTGATGTATTTGTAACATTTATTTATTATATATAAAACTTTAAGGCCTTTTTAAGTTTTTTTATCCTATTTATATGATATTTTCAAAGTTTTATATAATAAAATATTTGTTTATCTAAATGCCCCATTTGCTTAGATGATATGAGTGAAAAGATAAAATGATTTAAATTCATTAATAAAAAGGAGTCTTGATAATGTATATGATAGTTGAGAAATTTAATTATGTTTTCATATTTCTTATAATCTTGTTATGAAAAGGATATATAGTAGTAACATTGGTGCAATCCCTTAAAATTAACACTGCTCATTATCATTTACATCTAGAGATGATAAAATAGTTCGCCCTTCCCATTTTATCTATGACTGTAAATGATTGCAAAATTTCACATCCTGCTAGTTTTAAAAAAATTATTTACAAACTTGATTTTTTAAATTTGTTAAATATATTGATTGCTTCAAATTGTAATGGAACTTTGACAATATAATTTTATGTTATTAATTATTAGTAAGTGGAATTTTATTGCTATAAGATATTGTTTTAAAAAATTGTCTAGACTGAATTTTAATTATGTTTTCTTATATATAAAAAAAGTAAAGTTTTATTTAAACTGAAACAATGTATTATTAATACAAATTGTAATTCAATGCTTTATTTTACAGTTTTAAAATTTTATTGAAAATTTTATTCTGAAACTTTATTTTTCAATTTTAAAAAATATTGAATGGTTCAAATTCCAACAAAATTTTGACTATATAATTTTATGTCATTGATTTTGAGCAATAATAATATAGAAAATTATGTGAGAAAACGAAATGTATCACATTTTTATATAAAAATAATTTTTTTTTAATTATTTAATGAAATACTTCATGAGCATTTGACTATACATCTCATGAAAATAAAATATTAAATGTTTGAATTTACAATTTTAATATTTGAAATATTTGTGCATACTTAAAAAGAAAAGAAAATATTAGAATTCATGAATTTTATTATCTTTACTTATAGTGTACAAAACAACTCAAAAAGTTATCAATAATAACCAAACTGCAAAAGAAGAATATGTAATACACGGGTTAATAATTAAGAAAAATAGAGGAATCCACTTACTCCAAGAGCAAGTGAAAAATATTTACTCCACATCATAATCATTCATTCTTGGGAAATCCAATAGTTTGAATTAGTAAGTACATTTAAACCATTAGCTTTTTTATTTACTCTTAGAGTAAGTGAATCACTCTCTTAAATATATAACATGTTTTGAGGTACACTTAGGTCACTTATAAATGTTTTAAATTTATACCTTATCCATTTTTATATATTTTATTTTATACAATTAGAATGTTTTTTATTAATAGTACTTTAGGTTAAAAAATATATTTATTATAATTCAATTTAAAATGAGATAGGTGATCAATGTGCTAATAGTAGTTACTTAAGATTATATGATTTTTTGTATAAATTAAAAAATATAAGGACAAAATAGGAAAATAAAAATTACACCATGATAATAATTATTTTTTTGCCTTTATATATAGGATAAATATAGATTATATTACAATTTAAAAAACGCTTCCATGATCGTTACATAATCTTTTTCTCATTTAATATAACTTTAAAGATCATTAGTAACTGCAACGGTTGAAAAATATTACATAATCTTTTTCTCATTTAATCTTTCCTATGAATCGTCAGGTTACCTATGCAGAGAAAAATATTACTGATTATTATAAATGATAAAACTAACGCTACAGGATATTATATATGGCTCAATAACAAATTTAACTAGGTGTTGTAAAAATTATGGATTTAATATGTACTTACCGACAACATAACTGCTTTAATACAACGGTTGTTGAAATATTGTGAGTATAATTTTTTTCCCATGAAAGTAAGTAAAAAAATATTATATTTTTATTGATATAAATTTAAGTATATGTTGCTTAATATTGAACAAGATAATATTGTATCTCCCATTTCTTGAATATCATCCGGATCGTGTACCTTAAAAATTATTTGTGAAGCTTAATATTGAACAAGAGAATATGTCTACTGTTCAATCTTTCATAACACAATATAAACCTGCGTCGAGCATGAAAGTTCAATTCCTAACAGAAGATTACCAGGAGATGGAATATTATCTCTTATCACATTGGAATTAGATAAACAAAGGGAAACCCTTTTCATAAACATTCTCTAGTATCAATTTTGTGTGTCAAACACTTCTCATGGGATACAATGAAAAGAATTGAAAATGATTGAGTTCCCATTTCCCACCCAAGCACAAATAGATTAAAAAGAGAAGACCCCTTCATGATGCCCTAGACCCTAAACATGATACTACTACGACAACTACAATACTACACGACATCCAAGAGGGAGAAATGAAAAGCTTTTGCATCAACAAACTGTCATAAAAAGGCAAAGAGAGAAAAGACCGCAAAAACCAGAAAATAGGGTTTCCAATTTCCAACACCAGCACTCATGAACAAGGCAAATAAGATTGAAAAGAGGACACCCAATACAAACATATGAAATTCTGTATTAATACAAAAGAAACCTCCAAAAACACATGAAGGGGAAAAAGAATATAGGAGCACCATGGTAATAAATAATATAAAATAAACAATTATGCCCGCACGGTAGAACAGAAAACACAGTCCTACAAGTGTATAGCAAGTTAGTTTATGAAAGATACACAGACAAATAACAAAACAAGCAAAAAAACAAGGTTTAAAGGAAAGGCGGAGGAGGAGGTTATGGTAGTGCTCTTTTACCCTTCCAGGCATCAGAAAATAAAGGTAAAGAAGAATTTGAGAGATTATTATTAAATCAGGATGGTTTTACATAGAGAAGCCAACACAGCTCAATTGGCAGTATACCCACCTCCTCATGGAAAGAGAGATCCATTGATAGGAAATAATAAGAAGGAGGTGGACAGAATGCCAATAAACTCTGTAAGCTACTCTTTGTTAAACCCACATGAACATACACAAAGACCTGAGACCACTAGGAGCATATGTTGAAAGTGAAAGACTTTTCAGTCTTTCGTGCAAAGCCACGACCCAAAACACAACATAGAGAAAGGTAGATTCTAGATTGTGCAGAGGAAGATGTGAGATTTGGAAGAGATGGCAGTGGGTGACAGGTATAGAGTGCCCTATTTAAGATGTGATGGAAGCTTGCAGTAAATAAGAAAGAGAAAAGGAAGAGGTAGAAGTGATCGGTGTGAAAATAGAGATTGAAGTATAAATAATTTATTTCCTTAAATACACATATTCACATGTTAAATTTATTATATACACATATTCCTTAATTGATATGTGTTTTATTTCTTATATTTATAATATATTTTAAAATAAAAATTCTTACTGATAATAAAAATAAAACACATATTAAATAATGATTGATTTTAGAAGATAAATTAACAACGGATGTATTTTACTCTCCCGAAAATATTACTTGCTTTAATGATGAACTAAGTTGGTAATTATTTATATTATTATACACCATTTATCTCAATCATTATTTATGAAAAGATTGATACTAACAAATAATAAATAATGTATTATATATATAAATAAATTTGTATATTAACAATCCCAAATTGTACTCACTTGTCATAATCTCTTTATTATTTTCTATAAATATTTTAGTATAAATTTTATATCAAAATATTATTTTTAAAGTATTATATTTTTTTATCCCAATTAATATATCTCAAATCTTTCATTTTCTTCCTTCTCTTACTCATGTCTTTCTTCTCTCCTTTTTTTTCACTCTTTAACAAAATAAAACCTAATAGTCAAATACTATATATTTTATGAGGAGAGATTCATTGACTCTAAGAGTAAGTTTTTTAAATTTATTTCATATCTTAGTCATTATTCTTCTAACAATCTCACTACGCATTTGCGTTTTGTCTTTCTAATTTATTTATTATTTGTCACTTTGTTAGTAATTTTAAGTAATTATGTTTGTCTTATTTTCACTCCATTTTTATTGAGAATCCATAATTACTGTTTATTTGTGAGTTTAGAAGTAACGTAAATAAAACTAAGTTAAATAATTTCACATAAAAATGAGTATAAACAAAGAATTTCACTATATTGCATATAGCTACATGACAATTTTAGAATTTTTGATTATTTTCTCTCATTAATTTATTTCCTTCACAAACTAGGGCGAAAAACTAGGGGGGGGATTTTTTTTAGTGTTGAACCAAATAGTGAAAAATAACATTTTCCACTACTTTTCTTCCATCTCCTTTTCCATAGAACCAAACATAGTGTTAATGTTTCGCAACTCTACCTATTTATTATTTGGCAACGAAAATTTATTGAATTAAGTTTTACTTCAATTGATAAATCATAAAGGCATTTTTAAAATTAAATTTATAAAAAATTTATTAAAAATCACACCTTTAATATTTCATATATAAAATGTATTATTTTAAATATACAATTAATATATTAGGACATTTGATAACATTTTATTTTAATAAACTTAATGAAAAGTTATAATTGAAATTAATTATATTGATGATAAAAATAAGTACTAAACTGTCCAATAATTAAGAGGGTATTTGAGCATAAATTAGGAGGGTTTGAATTGTTTTATTCAATTAATTAATATATTTTATTCAACTTGAATATTTTTAATTAATATTTAATTGAGTAAAAAAATAAATATTTAGTAGAAAATTAATTTAATTACTTCTCCATATACTAATTATATAATATTAATATAAAATTATTTTTCAACTACTTAACAAAATTCACATCATTTGAAGAAAACATTATATAAGAATTAAAAATAAAAATATCATTGAAAACATGTTGTATTTTTAATATAGAGCTTAATATCTTACATTATTACCGTAAAGATTTATATATAACCATTATAGTATCCACCATTCATTTGAAACTCATACACCGTGAGTGCATACATTTTTTCCTCCTTAATATATTAAGAGGTAAAGATACCCCTTTTCAATAAAAGTGTCTTGATAAAAAAATTATGTGTACTAACATTGTATGAGTTTTATACAATATTATAGTATCATTTATTATTATAAATGTAAACATTATTGCCACTTTAAAAAAATAGTCATATAGAATTTATACAACATTGTTCCCCATTTATATTTAATTATTATTCTCTTTTAGAAAAATCTAAAGAAATAGTAAATAATCATTGTATATAAATCTTTAAAATGCATATATATTGTAATGAGTTTTCCTATTCAATATAAGGTTTATTGAGATTAAGCACAATGACTACACGCCCAGCTACAGATAAAACACCCTCCTACCGCTAATTACCATTGTTTAGGTGAATAGTTCTAGGCATATATCAAGGGTTTTACAAGATTCCCACAAAATATGTCACCATAGGTATATTTTAATATAATTTGTTAGAAAAATACTTGAATATATATTTTTAACTAATAACATTAAATGACACATTTTCCGGATAGAAGATTTACTTCATTTTTATAAAGGGTTTTACTAATAAGTGTAATATATATAATCATTAGTATAAAGATTTATATATGGTGACTAATTCATTGATATTTTTTTTAAATTTAATAATAATTAATGATGTAAATAAAGTATATAAAACTTAATATAAAATTAAAGTTATTCCAAATTGGATTACGTGGTAGCATTGAAAGAAGAAAAAAAAAATGTGGGAGACGTAATTGCAGCGTGAAAAGATTGAGAAGTGATGAGATTGGATGGTTGATTATGGGAAGATATATTTAAAAGGATGATCATAGTTATTATTCCCTCGTTCTTGATGCAAACTCACTCACTCTTCTCTCCATCAACCTTTTCTGTTTAACCTAACTAAGTAGCCCCTTCTCTACACCTTTTAACAGCCTCGATTATGATGACCACAAAATGCATATATTACACTTCGTTTTGCTTCCTCACTAAAACTAGGGGCTTATTATGTTTTTATTTTAATTTATTTTATTTTTAACGTATAAAGATTAAAGGAAAATGTTTAATATGGTGTTTATTAATTTCTTCCATATATCTTTGAAAAAGTATAAATATTACATATATGAAAATAAATGTACAGAATATTAATTATAGTGTCATATTTTGATATACAAATAACCTGGTCTTTTAAAATTAGAAAATGGAAGATTACTATATATTTTTCTTATTTTGATAAGAAGACAGAATATTCTAGTCGAATTGATTGATATAAGTTTGATTCATGTTCCATTAAATAAACAAATTTGTTGTAGGTTGGATCGACCAAGAATTTAATCATATTACATTCATTACAACTAGTAATTCACGTTCACCATCTATTCGTACATCCCACCATGTTCTTCATTTTCTCCTTTCATGCAGCTAAAAGTCTGTAATTATTAATATTAATTTTCTAACTTATTGCTCATTGTTACTTTTGTTTTAATATCTCTAGATTAAAATATGTAATTAGATCTACACCCAACCAAATTTTACACCTCATCTAAAATTTAAACTTTGCTCCTAAAGTCTTGATATTAGCTAAATTCATCTTATATAACAATCTCTTCAAACCTAATACCAAATTCAGTTTTTTAGCCTTTGTTGAATTAACTTTTCAAAACAATCGAATTGGACATTTTATACGAATTAACGTTCCAAAGTGGTTAGATTCGAGAAGCTTGTTGTTGAAATGGGGTATGAGATTCTATGACTACCATATGGGGTGTAAAAGATTAAGAGCAAAATTCACTATAACAGAGATTGAATAAAAAGATGTATGATGACTTTGATTTTTATTTTTAAAACATTACAAGAAGAATACAATAAAAAGGGTAAAATGAATTATATATATGTTTCAAAATAAAATATATAAGTAGGGTTTGGTTTTTTCATATTTTGTAGAAATTATAAAAATGGGAAAGCATAAACTATTAGCATGGCCGGCCCATATGGGTGTGTGGCAAATGTGCCCTACAAGGCCCATAACTAATAGGCTCCAATTTTTTTTTACTTATACAACTAATTTTATTTCTATATGAATATTTTTATTATATTTAAAAAATTTGTTTGTCAATTATTATTACTATACGTATAAATTTTTTCCATACTTTATTGGTTGTAATAATTATTGTTCAATATTATTATATTATTTATGTATAATTGAAATAAAAGTCTGACCTAAATCAAGAAAAATATAAAACTGTTAAACGCTTAAGATGACCTCGTTAAAATATAATGAATTCAAGTCCCCCATAAGTAACAATAACCGAATCCGAAAAGAATGTATCTTTTCTCTAAAATTTATTGTAAAAATATTACATAATTAAATTATTTGATATCAAATTTCCCCGTATAGTAAAATTCGGTCAGAATTTTTTATGGCATCAGTCCTATAAAATGGTACCAATACTACTTATTAGTTGGATGAATCAAGGAGAAACCACTCAAGAGATACAGAAACACTTCACTCTAATTTTTAATTTATAGCCTTGGGTAAGAAATTTAATAATGAATAGCGGAACTCAACAGGTGCTTGGAAGCCAAAAAGGCAAAAATTGCATTTTTTTGGATGTCCCGGGACTTAAAAAATATTTCATTCGAATTTATTTAATTAAGAAAAGAATTAATTTCGAATTTTTATTTAAAATAGAATATTTATGGTGAAATGAAAGGAAATCTTAATTTGATTAATGGAGAGAATATATCCTCTTAATCTTCTTCAAATTCTTAATGAGAGAGATTTGTTTTTTTTAAAAAGCATCTGCCATTTTTTCTACTAAGAGAAGAGATTAGAATATTAAGGAAAAATTTAACAATAATAATAATAACTAATTATGCTAATATTTTAAGGAATAAACAATAACAAAAATCAATATGAACATTTTTTAGCAACTAATTAACAACTTATTCTGTAATCATCACAAATTAAAAATAAATTAAGACTTCTCATTATAATTAAATAGCAATTAAT